ACATGTCAAGGGTAGTGAAATTAATAGAAACAGAGATATAGGTGAATATTGGTACGGATATTGCGGTATCAGATCCAAATTTGGAACGGATGTCTTTGGAAAGGATAAGCCAGTTCCAGACATGATCGTGTATGGGTAGGACGTGTCGCACAATGTCCACATTCTGGCTTAGAAAGAAAAAAACATGGTGAAAACTCCGATGATGTCTTACTAACGGGGCAAGCACGCCATCAACACGGCAACAACCATTTACCCAGGTTGCTAGTATGACTTGGTAGTCATCATATGATTACAAAAAAAATAGTGTTTGAACCAAAGAGCTTGTTTCACATTGTGCATCCCACACTTTTCATCACATCCCAGAACCAAACTACTCGAATTATATATATTTTACAATAAGTAGTATATAAATGACTCGGCAAAATTTCCCCGTCATGCAGATGTATCCGGTAGTCTTTCGTCACTTCATTCATATTCCCGTACCCAGGTATGGAGGCGTAAACTAAGTTGCAAAACGTCTACTGTGACGTTTCGATCCAAACCTCGAACTCCTTGTCAAACGTGAATGAAACGAAATACGTTCGCCTGTGTGCTGTTTGTGCGTCTATCAGTCCTGTCCACCAATAGTCACGGGGTTTGCGAGTACTATGTAATGTTGGTCTATCTGGACGTGTCGGTTGGACGAATTGAGGAAGAATGAAGAGCTTCGAGAATGTATCGTTTCCTCTTCTTCTCCTTCTTAGCCCGTGACACCACCGTTGCTTTATCGATCGGGATCTCGTGACCTGTCCGTGCGCAGTGATTCCAGATTTATGACTTCCGGTCAGCGCGTCACGGGGCAAGCTTGTGATCGCGTGCGTAGTTGGTTGTCTATGTAGTGTTGATTGCAGTGCAAACACGGGATGGCATAGATTACACCTGATCGATCGTTCTTGCTGTTCGAATAGATCGTTGCCGTTGAAGAGAAACGATCTTACAGTTGCTACTGGTTTACGGGCTATCTCGATTCCCAACGGTCGGAGTATACTGCTTTACTTGACTGTGGCTGGCTCCTTGGAAAGGGTAGGCCGGCTCCAGAGATGCTCATGAAGTTCCTTGAGAGTTTGGTACGAAAGATGTCCCCAGCGTCAATCCGCGTTATTTTTATTTTTGAGGGCGAACCTCTAGCCTTTGCACAACCAAGTACGAACTGTAAAGCTGCGGGAAACATTCCTTAGCCTCGGAAGTGAAGGGGTCAATGACTTTAGTTTTAAAAAAGGCCAGTCACATCGACCTTTGTCACGACACCGTCATTGGGCTTATGCGGCTTTTGAACAGGGACCATGTGACCAGCCTGAAACCCACCACAGCCTGGTAATACCGTCGCTGTTTGTTCGCGACTTCTTATTTGTCGCGGTGTGCCATAACTTATTCACAGCTAACCTCTTCTTCTATGAAGGTATCCCCTATCCACAACCCGGGGATGCGCCTGGTAGTATTCCGCTCGAGGGTATCCAGACATCCGTATAGAAATGTTTGGATTAGCCACAAAGAGAGAAAACGAAAAAGCAACAAACATTTTCGGTTGATGAGGTTTCGACCCTCTTGGAAGTCAATAAACAAGCGAACATGACAAAAGCAACGTGTAGGAGACCCGGTATTGAATGGAGGAGGCAGTTTTGACTGGTCTCGAGGAAAGGAATATATGATTTATTGTATGTGTATGTGTGCATTTATGTTGTAATCAACGAAAACGTGAAAGTTGTGAATGTAATTAGAGATCAAAGAGCCAAGAATGACGTCACAGGANATGGGTACGTGTTTGTGACAGAGAGAGGTTGGTTGTACAATTGACAACAAGCCGGTGAACTGATAATTGGGCCCTGTCCGATCTACGGACACAAGTGGATCGCTGTTGATAAACAATGACTCAGTAATTAATTAATCGTTCTCTGTACGACCTGAAAGCTTGTTTCAGAATAACCGGTTTTTTGAAGTCTTTAGAGCGTACCTCAGAAATGTAATGCAGAGTGATAGCTGAGTCCCTATCGTGGGGTCCTAATCTTCGAGGTATTCCTTGGAGCATGTTGGGATTTATCTAACATGTTCGGCGACTCGCTTCTTTAGTTGTCTACTTGTTTGGCCAGTTTGCATCAGATTTTGTAAATGAGATTCTGGTTTTTGGGCTCTTCGTTGTTTATCCTAAAGGCGCATTTAGTAATACTGAATTCCATGTCATTAGGGACAGACAATCTGTAGGTTTCGTCAAGGGCTTTCTGGAGATCAAATGAATTTTCTGCTTTTGTCATTGTCGAAGCACGCAGAAGATTAAACTTCTTGCTTACTACTGTTATCAATCCACAAGACGGTTCCGGGACAAGCATATTAGCTATACCGAATATATCAATTCGCTCCAACAGGTCTGGTTCACTTTCGACCGTTGAAAGGAACCACCACAAGCCACCTCCTTTTGCGTGCTACTCACAAATGTGAGTAGTACGTCACAGCACTGCCGTAAACCAAAACACAGGAGGATTGTGATAAACCTCCCACATTTTTGCCCGTGTATACGTTCTGTCTGAAAATTCGCGTAGAATTTCTAACTCCATTTCGGTTTTCACACTTTTTGATGAGTCCACTCGAGTACAAAAGGACCTGGTGCCAAGTTTTTGTCTCTTTGTCCACGGGCGGACATTGTTCTATGATTGTGTTACGCAAGCTTAAGAGTACTAACTATGGAAATCAAGAGAACCGCGCACTGATGGCAAGTCTCAACAAGGACGAAACGGATATTTAGTGTTATTTGTCAGTCAGCACACAAAACTTTACACTGTAAAATTTCTCATTCGCTTAATCATAACTTCGTAAGACTTATTGTACAAATAAAGTTACCTACATTGGGCAGGGGAATCGAAAGACTATGGGGGTAAATAAATAGGCCCTTAGAGATAAAGGTGGATGTTTGATAGAGATGGGGTAACCCTGTGTACCCCACTTGTGACAGCAAATGAGGATGGATGTTCACCATAGACCCAGATCTTCCCCGAGTTCTGATGGCAGAGTTTTAGAATCAGGACATACTTCTCGGATACTCTGTATCTCTGCAAACAGTTCCACAGTGCAGTGATGAATTGCGCGTACGCAACGAGCTTGTGTGTTTGTGAGAGAAAGAGTGCGGGTGTGTATGCGCGTGCGTATTCAGCAGTCTTTAATACATAAAGCCGTAGTAGTCAGAGCAACGGGTATAGTTGTTATAGCTATGGAAAGAAGATACCATCAATGGAACTATCAAAACGAAATCTTTCACGCCAAGACGTGTTACCACATAGTTCTTGACTTAATAACCGAGAATCACACTCAAGGTAGATTTTATATACCAAGGCTAAGCAAAACAGTTTCCGGATGCACCAAACGTTTTATGTCTTACAAAAGAATAAGCATTACATTTTCTCTTAATATGCTCCACCACTATTCATTCAAACATACACACACACAGTTCCATGCGCTCAAATCATTAAGGTGAAATAGCTCGACTATGCCGACCGAAGCGAGTAACCGCCCTTCGACCAGTTCAATAAAGGCCTCCTCGCTGCAGATGTTTGTGACCCGTATCGGATAACACGTATCACACGCTTGACATTTGAGAACACAAAATAGGCACACGAAGTCAGGTCTGGACTGAATGCGGGTGGGGTGGGATGACCAACCACTTGGATGCGTTCTCTAGTCAGGAACTCACTGACGACATGGGATTTGTGTGCAGGTGCGTTATCGTGGTGCAGCAATGCCCCTCAAGCCCGAGTGCTTGGACGACACTTGGCAACAGTTTCCAGCACTTTCGGCAGAAAGTGGATGGTGTACCAGTCTCCGGTGATTGTGTTTTGTTTTAACGAGCGGCACAGTAGCAACATGACCAATTTTGGCCATGGGCACACACTGCGCTCCAGTCGGAATTTCTGAGGCAGCGTCTCACCAACCGGTGCCCACTGAGCCGATTTTGCTTGTTCGCCGGGTCGAAACTGTACACCCAGGTCTCATCACTTGATTGATGATCTCTCAAACTGCAACTGGAACGTCCATCATCAAACCTGGCAAGCATGGTGCGTCACCAATTCACCCAAGCTACTTTCTGTTCCCCGTTTGTGCTGATGGGGTAGCTAGAGATCGCAAATCTTTCTGACGCCGAGCTTTTCTAGAGGACGATGCGGATTGACCCTGATGAGATCCCGGTGGGTTTCGCCGGCTGTGCTACTGTCACTCGTGCATCCTCCTCCACCATCGATTGCAAAGCAGCAATGTTGTCCCCTGTGATGGCCTCGACAGGTCGACCACACTGTGTCTCATCATCCAGGGACCGCCCGTCACACTTGAATTCCGCAAACCACTCAACCACAGTGCTCTCTGAAGGCGCGTCATCACCAAAGGTAGCTAGCGAACGCTCAACATTCTACTGCTGCTGCTGCTGCTGCTTGAAACCACATTTGTAGTGGTAGAAAATCATGGCCCACCACGCTGACATTGACTGAGTTCCAACCTTACCACAGTCCGACTATACAGCGATCGTCGTATGATTTGTGAGCTGTGCTGTGCTTCCGGCTGTATTGTGATATTTGGTTCTGTGTGTGAGTTGCAATCACTGAACAATAGAATCACAATACGAGGTTGCAGTTCATGTTTTCCTTGCCCTCGGTCATCTGTCTGCATCTTATACTCGTCGTGTACACTGCGTATCCGCAAAAAACATTTTACTTAGCCCTCGTATGCATATATGTCAATATAATAAACAAAGTTAAGCCTTTTTCACGTGATATCAAGCTAGTTGATCTAAAAATGATCGTGTCTCATCTACTGATCACAAAGTTTTACGAACACATGTACGGTAAGTATTCTAACAGCGAATAAAAACAGTGTCCCACTGTGTGTATGTGCGTATTCGTGTGTGTGTGTGTGTGTGTATGTATTTATGTATGTGTGTGCACGTGTGCTTGTGTGTGTGCATGTTTGTGTGTGCGTGAACTTACCACCGATTGGTTCGAAGTCATGGCTCCACCGACATTCAGTTTGAGCATACTGGCAAATGTGGTGCTCGCCGATGCTGCCACTCGCCAACGATCCTGTTGAGTAAGCGAAGTCGTGTCCTCGTCCAAAATGTCCGTTTTCACGAGCAGCCCACCTGCATCCACGGATGAGATTGAGTGTGTGCCATAATCACTGTAGCGAATGAGAGACAATGAATTGGAGAATTCTCTTCAGACCCCCGGTTAGTGTAATCGTAAATACTGATTCGCTTGGAAATGTGGTCTGCTGATGGCAAATACAAGGTCAGAAATACATGAATTCCGTAACTGCATCAAGGGTTTGTTATTTTGAAGGGATATCAAGCTGGTGGAGAGATACTCGATAAATTTCGTTTTTCAGAACGGTTTTCTATTCTTGCTTGCATTGTCAGTCATGCTGGACTGAAATTTACACGTGCACAAGTCAAAGTTCGAATGGCACGCGTGGACACATACTGGATGGTGTGATTTCATTTGACAAGTGCGCGTTATCAACGCAATACATTTTTTTCAAGGGTTTTGAAAAATGTACAGTCAAATAGCATGAAGGGGGTAACAGCCAATTAAAGGTTGCCTGGGTAAATGGAGAACTGGGAAAAATAGGTGGCGCTCCCGGTATTCGAACTCAGGACATCCGAGTTTCTTTTATAATAAGTAGTATGTGAATGACTGGACAAAAGTCCTCCGAAGCACACGACCGATTTCGCGGTCCTTGCCGCTCTTCAGATATGCGTATCCGGTGGTCTTCTGTCGCATCATTCTTATACTTGAACTCTCAATATGAATTATGCAATGCAAACCTAATA